CCGCAAAGCGGTCAAAACCTGGCTGTTCCGACAGGCCTGGGGTTGGTGAGTTCCCACCCCCCTCTCGAATTTGTGTGGCTGTTGGTTGCTTTTAAATTGTATTTTGTTTGTTTGCCTTTTGTTTTTGTCTGTATTATCCCTTTCCCTTTTGGTTTGTTAGCCGCCCTGAGTCCCTTCGGGAATAGGGCGGCATACAAGTGCAATAAACCTTATAACCTTAGTCTTTCTTAGTTGAAACTTTTTGGTTGCTATCACAGCGTATCCACTTTGTTCTTGATCACACAAATAAACTTCCTGCTTCATCATCTTTATATATTTTGATACAGAACTTATGTCAACATAGTAATAAGTGAAAACCACTTGCAGTTGACAATGTACTCTATATAAATGAAGCCCTTGAATCAAGAATAAAATCATGGTTCATAATCAAACACTTTTTTGGTGCTCATTTCACAAACTACCGCAATATAGTACAGCTTTCTGCTAACTGAAATGAAATAATAGGTGCTAAAGAACATGACAGAGTTTCTTTTGTATCAGTACTGCCATCTGTTGGAAATTTATAACATTGGTGATATTTATGAGATTGCAGATCCTGGCTAATTGAAGAATAATCACTTGCTCCTACTTTAGGTAGTTGAAAAAAAAAGTAATACACAAGACAAGGAGAAGGGGTGATTGAAGAAAAGAGGTTGAAAATACACTAATTTTGTTCACTAAAGCTATTAATTGATTGGATATTGGTATGAAATATCACAACCCTTCCTTTAATTAGTAGTTAGTCATTTGGAAAAAGTAACCTATTAAGGAATGTAGAAAAGGATTAATGTTTCTGAAGAGTCAAAATATTTTCTCCCTGAAAAAATAAAAAAAAAGTATACATATGTTGGTCTCAATGCTGCATTAAGAGTTGAGGCTCGGGGCAGAGCAGATGTTGTGCAATATTGCTTTTTATTTAGATTAAAACTCAATAAAAATTACTTGATTACACAAACAAAAAAAAATCACTTTTATGAAGTCTATCTCTTTTTAGATCAGAAAGTGTCAGAAAGTGTTAGAAATTTAGTAAAATTGGGGAGTGTAATACATTACGTTTAACACCATCTCAGGTTTTCATTGATTTCTATTAAGTTTGAAATTCAGCTACACAAATATTTTCATTGATTTCTATTAAATATGAAATTCAGCTACACAAATATTTTTCTCCTAGGTAACTAACCCTAGTTTTACCTAAATTGACTAAATTGCTAGTGATTAGTGAAGAATATGTATTTGCAGATTTGCTGTGTTTTTCTTTGTAGGATGCACGTCAGAAATTCCGTTCAGTTCTGGTGGAAGCTACAATAAAACTAGATGAACTTGTGAAGAAGATTGGAAAATCTGTAGAAGATTCAAAGCCTTATTGGGAAGCCCGAAGGGTTGCCAGGCAGGTAAGAATACAATTGAAAAAGTGTGCAATACAATTTTAGTTAATAGAAGCACAATAAAACCACAATGGTATTGTTTATAACACATGATCTGCATGCTATGATGGGTATTTCAACTGTGTGCTTCCTATGAGATAATGACCTTTTTCTCCTTCCAAGTGTGATGAATACCACCCATACAAATCTTATCTATTAAAAGGATTGTTTGTTCGTTTTCTCACTATCTACTACTAATGATCTCGGAAAAATTTCTAGTAATCCATTTATACTTCTTCATTTCAGTTATTGTAAATGCATCACAATAGAATCAATTATTAGTCTTAGAATTTCTCTTTTTCTTCAATTATGACTTATAGAAAGCTGTACTCAGTGGTGAGCTGCTGCCGGTTTGGACCGGTTCGCCTGAACTGGTAGTTCTGAGCACTGTTTGGCTCTACCCACCCACCCTGATGCTATCTCACTTTCTGGCTCACTCGCCCTGCCCTGCATCCAAGCCGATTTGCACGCCTCTCCTATTCCACTAACCGTGGCTAACCTAGCAGGTATACAGGAAGCCACCCCCATCGAAAAAGCATTGTTTTAGGTATGGTATGCAAGTGTGGAAGGAGCGTGCGTGCTGATATTTTCAGTGAACCAGTTGTTAAAGTATGTGCAGCCCACCTCTGGCTATATTGTAGATTTTTCCTTCTCTAAACAAAAGGAAAAAATAATGGTGATATCACCTAGATGATTCTTTTTCATACAGTGGAATTGAGTAAGTTCACCTAACTTGTGATAGACAGTCTGAAAATACTGCAGCCTTCCAATTGAACTGACAAAAAACTGAATTGGCACAGACTGAACATTAACCTTCAAAGTAAGCATATTATTGACTTATTTTTGAAGATTTTTCTAAAAAGCTACTTCCTGGATCTGCTTCTAAAATAAATTAGAAATACTGACTAATATAGTTGTCAATTATTGATTTACTATGCTCTGTATTTGCTATTTATTTTAGAACAATGTTTCTGCAGTCTCCACAGAAGGGAGAAAGTGTGATCTTTTCTCTACTTTATCTCGCCAAAGCTAAAGTCTAATACATTGAGGGCCACATCAGGGCTGTGGTTGACCTTGGGAGACCAGCAAGTCATGGCCAACTGGGTGGGTGTGGCTGACTAGGTGGGAGTAGACATCTTGACCCCATTGCCCAAACTGCTGGCATGTTTCTTCTTTGAATTGGATAGACCGGGCTGAAGCCACACTGGCCCAATGTTTTCTCTTCGCATTGGGTAGATCAGGCTGAAGCAATGCAGGTAGATAGAGCCAAAGCGATGTGGGTAGACTGGGCCAAAACATTATGGGCCAACCACATCACAGGCTGGATCTTGCCGTGGGCCTTGTGTTTGACACCCCTGGTCTAATCCATATTGTCTATTCTCTTTCAGCTGTTTTGACCTCGTTGCCCTTTTCATAAGTTGCAAGAATGCATGGTGGTCCATTAAGAATTAATTTGCTCATTTGTTCAGTTGTGCTCATTTCTGAATTAAGGGACCTACTCAGTCACACATGCTCTGTGTTCAACAACTGCAATGTGCTTTACATGCGGCTCATTTTGAAGAGTATCCAGAAACTTTAGCTGGTACAGAATTCACCAGCATAAGGAGTTATATGTTTCTGGTAGAGCACACATTGCATCTAGACTGTGCAGGTTGCATTTCTTTCTGGATCCAATTCAAGATTTTGCCGTTGCTCTTTAAAGCCCTATGTAGCATGAGAATGGGCTATTTGAGGAACCACCTTTTCCTGGTTTCATCTGTTTGTCCCATTAGATTTAACAAATGGACATGTTATGGGTTCTGTCATCTAGGAAGCTACATGTGGTGGGCTGTAGATGACAGGCCTTTTCTGCTATGGTCCCTGCACTGTAAAATTTTCTCCCTCCACCACCAGGTAAGGATGGCTTCATTGCTTCTAAGTTTCCAAAGTTCCCTGGTTATGTCATCAGGTATGGGAGATGAGTGAAATATTGAAGTGGCTCAATTACTATTAACTTCCTTCCATCTATTATTCCTGTTTTACTTTTTTTAATTAAAAAAAATTAAAATATTTTCAGTACTTATTAACAGTAATGATTTAAGATTTTTTAAAGTTTTATTATAGATCGCCCAGAGTCACTTGTAAGAGGAGCGACTATATAAATTAGATAAATAAATAAACAGGTCTGAGTGTTATCTAGTATTACAACAAACTTTTAATGACCACTTGTAATACAAATAAAAACTAGAAGGGATGCAATGATATCACAAATGATTGTTTTGTCAGGACTCAAATAGTATTTCATATATAGCAATGAAATGAGTCTGGAATTCCTGTCTCTGTATGTTACTGGCTATGATGGGAATTTTGTGCATTCTGTTGAGGGAAACTGACTTTCTAAAACTGTAGTATAGCAAATAGGTGGAGTGGATGTGGTAATATATAGAGTTCTCCATTTCATTAGGCTACAACAATGTGGCAAATACAGTTGAATTGACAGTCTTTTTCATATAATATTTTTATTTCTATGATTACATCTTTTTAAATAATGATTTAATTTTCTTAAGCTAAGGCAACCTTTGTCAATCTGGTACTCTCCAGGGCCTGTCTGAAAAATCTAAGATTTATGGATTTACTGTATAGTCCATCAGGTGGACTGCCCCTTTGGAGCATATTAAATATGGCTAATGTCTTTTTTTCTAATCTGAGCCATTAGTTTTGCCATCCGAGCCAGCTCTATCAGTTTTACAATCATTCTTCTATTGCAACATCACTGAATCCATCAGTGTTGGGTTATAGAAATCTTGCTGCTGTTATCATATAAAAGAACAAAGTAAAATGCAATTTTTCCAAATGTTTGTCTATCAACTCTAATAAAAGTTAACATATGTATTTCAATCTAACATTTTTAGCTTTTTTGTAAGCCCACTGAAAGTGTAAAATGTCCCTTCTTGGTGTTTATATTTGAAGTTTTGAGAATCATCTATACATCTTTTTATAAACATTCTCTTTTAAGATTATAGCACAATGTAAATTTCAACCCCTTTGTCTACATATACTCCCACTGCTGTATTTGTATACTATACAAATGAATGGATGTGAATATGAAATGTTTAGTCCATCTTATCCTATAGCCTTTAACTTGTTGGTCTTCTGTTTTTATTTTTGACAAAACTTTGTACATTTTAGCAATAAGATATTTATCACTTATATGTAACTTGACTTTTTAGTTTTAATCATTTTTAATGATTAAACATTTTAATCATTTTTAATGATTAAACATTTTAATCATTTTAATGATTAATTTTTTAAATCAAGTTTAAATTTTTTGAGAAATGAAAAACTGTTGTCTCTTGATAATCAAATCCATTGCTTCCTGTGTGTTATCAAAAAATATTGGTGAAGAAAGGGCCCAACAGGCCCACCGGAAGTTCGGAAATGAACTTCCGGTAGGCCAGTTGGACCATTTTTCATCCTCCCCAGGCTTCAGGAGGCTTTCCTGAAGCCTGGGGAGGATGGAAAATGGACCTACCGGGCCCACCGGAAGTTAGAAAATGGGCCATTTCCGACCTCCATAGGACCTCTGAGAAGAGGCAGGGGAGGCTGTTTTTGCCCTTCCCAGGCTCCAGGAAAGGCTCTGTAGTCTGGGGAAGGTGAAAAATGGATCTACCGGGCCCACCAGAAGTCAGGAAATGGGTCATTTCCAGCCTCCAGAGGGCCTTGGAGGGGACAGGGGGAGGCTGTTTTCACTTTCCCCAGGCTCTAAGGAAGCCATCCCTGTATGCGTGGGGTACTGGGGGGCATCTAATTACAGGTGCGTGCACTTTTGGCACCTGAGGGGAAAAAGGCCTGCCATCACTGCTATAGAGTATGCCAGACCTACATTAGAAATAAGGGTCATAGGTTCCAGGTGGTGATGTCGGGACGAGTGTGGAGAAGAAATCAGGGCTCTGATTTCTTATCTCAATCTACACGTTTGGAGGACCCCTGCGAGGGTCCGCTGATCTTAGAGGGAGATGCAGAGGAGTAGGGAAACCCTAGGACTAACAAGGCGGAGGGTGACTGCCCGCTACGATGTGGGGATATCCTTTTAATCCAGTGTGCAAGTGTCTTGTTTCAATGGCGGACTTGAAGTCTCGACAAACTATCTAAAAGGAGAAGGAAGAATTTCATCAACCTGTTGTATCATCGAGTGGATTAGTGGATTGGCTTGCAAGTGGAAACAGCGGTGAGTGTTGGTTGAAAAGGAAGATTGCAGAGAAGAACGGGCAAAGCAGTGAATCTCTAGAGATCAGGTGAGAGCCCTATAACCAAGCGGCCACCAGTAGGAATGAGAGCGGCAGATTTTTAGAGGAAAAGACCGGCCCAAAAGAAGTAATTGGTGTAAGTGAGCGATCGGAGGGAAGACAACAAGAAAGATCACGAACTGACTCTGAGACATACAGATAAGTGGTGGAAAAGAAACCAAGTAAGAAGGAGGACTTGGAGAACAGTGGTGTGCTTGGGGGCGGCGGCTGACAGATAGCAGTTAGGAAAAAGAAGAGGACAACGAAATAGAAGGGGAAGGCTGATGCAACAGCTGTGCTGAAATTATCTAGAACTATTCAGAACAGAAGAGCGTGGACAATTTTGCAAAGACTGAAAAGAAAAGTAATTCAACCCAGAACTTTAAAAAAAAAGTAAAAGAAAAGTTGTTGAATGAATTGACTGCATTAATAGTTTAGAGAAATAAGTTACAATATATATATATAATATTTATATATATAATATTTATAATACCTATAAACAAGCACTCAAATCTATATTCATATTTATAAAGAAGTAAGTGGAAAGTTTGTGGATATCCTTATATATATGTCTATGGTTATAAATATCTATTTGAATTAATTGCAGTAATTACACTAAGGATATAATGAAATAATTGCATTCTTAAGATATAGCACTATTGGTATAAATGAGTACTGAGTACTGANTGGGAGAACTGCCAGCTGAATCCACATAATGAATAAACTACTTCTGGAGAAGTGCAGGGTAAAAGAGGGAGAAAGGAAGACATGGTGAATGAGCTCTCTATTGTTTCTCATATTTCCCCTATCATAATCAATTCGAGTTTGGTTGACAGCTTAGAAAACAAACAGCATGGCACCTCCCTGGGTTTATCATCTTATCCTTCCTTTCAGCTTTAGAGTGAATTAGGAAAAGTTTAATCTACTTACAATGTTTTATATTACATGTTTGATGACAAACAGCCTTATGTTTATAAGTGACAGTTTAAAATTACCATATTGAAATCAAATCTGATGTTTTTACATTTTTATTTGGTGTGCCTCGGAAGAGAGGTAGTCTTATATGGTGAGTATAGCCCAAACCTTATATTTTAACAGGAAAAGTAGGGGGTTGTCTTATACACCTAGTCACCTTATACGCCGGAAAATACAGTACATATCTTTTTGTGCCAATGGAACCTCAAATGGTTAATTAGCTAGCATTTATAGTTGCAAAATAGTGGTTTAAAATTGAATGCTATAATAAAAGGTATTTTTAAAAAATTAACAAAATTATTTGAGCAAGCAATTGTAGCCACGATTTGCTCATATATAGAGAGAAGAAAAGAAACCATTATCAAAATGAGAAGGGAAGATGGTTCAGGCCTAAGTTATATGAATTGTCCTTTGGATATGTCGAAGTGAAACTACAGAATAAGTTATATATTTTTGGAGACAACAACATTGAAGTAAGCAGTGATCAACACAAATCTGCTTAATGATATTATGAGATGGGGAATGTTATATGTAAGCAGGATATAATCCTTCAATCAATATAGTCACTACTAGCATCTATTGTACTGACATTTTAAGATGAGCAAATGAAATCAGAAGAAATCATTATATATTATTTATCCTTTCCTTCTAAAGTACTAGACTAATTTAATCTTTCATTGCAGGCTCAGCTAGAAGCTCAGAAAGCAACACAGGATTTTCAGAGAGCAACAGAGGTGCTACGGGCTGCTAAGGAAACCATTTCTCTTGCAGAACAGAGGCTGCTGGAAGATGATAAACGTCAATTTGATTCTGCATGGCAAGAAATGCTCAATCATGCCACCCAGCGGGTAGATTGTATTACTACTCTTTCCATAAGTTTTTAAACATTTTAGGCAAGGAGAAAGAATTAATACTTTACAGATTATTGCACAGGTTTTATCAGTTACTTCAGGGACATTTTATTCATAGATATCAGGAGAAAAGCAGCAACACTATTTTCATGTAACTTTTCTAACTTCTAAAACAGGTAAAGCAATTACAGGTTAGTAACATGTCGAAAAAGGCTGAATCTGTCCACGAATGATGTACAATGGGCCTACCACTGTACAAATAAACATTTTGATTTAAAGACACATAACTTATTCCTTCAGATCTTTCATCAATAGCCACCAAAACTGAGTCTATCCACCTGCTGCTGATGGTCATCGTTTTCTCCTTTTTTCCATTTCTCAAACATTATGATTATCTTCAGAAAACTAGGTGGATTGATTTGTAATCATTGTTTAATATTAAACAGACTTTAGGCATTATGTATGATCACGAAAGTAGCTTTTTTTAGTAGGAAAATAGCCAATGTTAACAAGAAAAGTAATTGCCTTTTTAGAAAAACTTTGACATTAATCTAAACAGACTCTTCAAATTCAGTTATTCCATGATTCTGTTACTGAGTTTAATTTACATGAGATTTTCTCATTTTTTGCATTTTGTAACACTGATAGAAGTCTAGTCAAGTAGCCAATGGCATGTTGCTAACCTTAATAAATTATACCAAGATATTTACAACTCAGATTCTACTGAGTCCTCTTTTTCTATGTGGTTGTGCTATTTTGCCAGATACTACTTAGGCATTTGAGAAATATTGCCACTAAAAACAAACCAAGCTTTGCATATAGTATCTTAAATTCAAAAACATTTTCATAATGCTTTTTAAAGGTTATGGAAGCAGAGCAGACAAAAACTAGAAGTGAACTTGTACATAAAGAAACAGCAGCCAAATACAATGCTGCCATGGGCAGAATGAAACAGTTGGAGAAGAAGCTGAAAAGAGCTATTAACAAATCCAAGTAAGTTTAAATTTTCCTGGGTTCATGTGATGTTGTGATTGTTGAGTGGTTTTCTGGCATATGTAAATAGAACCATGAGAAACCATGAGAAATGTCAAAGGCAGCCTTGAGTCAACGACTCCTTCCAAATGTCCAACACAAGACAAATGCAGAAGTCACATATAGGAAATAAATATAGTGGAAATAAATATACTCAGCAGTACAGTGTGTGATTCAGTGCAAATCATTTAGATGACATTTCCAGGTAGGGATTAAAGAAGTCTTGCTTAGAGTTCCTTATAAATCTTCTGTTCAATCTGAATTAACAGCTATGACTTCCCTGGACCAGTGGTTTTAATCATTGGCTTGTTTCATCAATGAGGCTTAAGCTGTGGTTTAACTGTGCTTTTAAAATAATTGCCTGAAAAACCACAGGAAAATTATACTATGGCTTAGCCGCTGTAAAAAAGACCTGCTTGATGAATTGTGCTGTGCCCTGATATGTGATGCTTCATTTATCAATTTGAGCTACTACTATCTTGTGCTTGGAATGCCTTTAAGGATTGTTTAAAAATATATCTTAGTCAAATTATATTAGCAGCAAGATTATTGCTTGAAGTAACTTCTGGTACCAGTCACAATCATTTAAAACATTTAAAATATATCTATTTCATGTTTTTTTCTAATACCATCATTCAAACTCTAATTTTCAATTACAACTTAATTTTTATTCATACATTTATTCATGTTCTTTCCAATCCTCTAATCCGTATAATTCTATTAATACACATGTTCACATTAAAATATATTCTTTCATTATTTAATCACCTTAATTCTAGAATTTCATTACTTATCATATATTTATATAATTCTATTATTATTACACATTGTTGAAATACTTTCATGAAATATTTACTTTACTTTCCCTTTCTTTTTCCTTTATCCAACATCTCTTGCCCACATCCAGATTTTTAGTTGTCTTTTTTGGAGGGAGGGGTGTTCCTCCCATACTCTTCTTTTAAATCTTTTAAGCTTTTTAGTTCATCTGCCGTTAAATTTTAACTATACATTCTAGCTTTCTCTCCCCTCTCCACCTTTGCCCACTGTCTATTTTTAAAGCTGTTTGTTATAACCCCTGTCTCTTTTCCCCAGCTATCTTCCGGTTTCTCCCATTCCCTTTTCAAATCTTTGAAGATATTTTCCTCCTGTTCTAATTCTCTATTCGCTATTAATTTTAATAATATCTCCTCATTGTTGTCTTCTCCTTGTTGGTTTCTTGGTTCTGCTGTCTCCTCCACTTCTGGTATCCCCATTCTTTCCTCATTGTCTTGGTCTTTGTTCCTTGTTCTTTGTATTATATTTTCCAGTTTTTGTTCTATACAATCAAATATTTGCATCATCTCATGTTGTCCCTTCATAAAATCCTTAATATTTTGATACATCAGCTCCATTCCGTTATCTCCACTTACTTCCACTTTGCGATACGTCTTTGCTTAACAATTGTCCACAAATTATTAAAATCACAATTTTAAATGTCAAGTCAACAAGCAATCAATCCAATTTAGAAAGAAAACCAAGGGGTTATCCATACCTCTTCCAATCACTTTTATTTGTTCAACAATATTCGGGAGTCTCTTGGCTAAAGTTATTATTTGATGTGTAAATCTCTAATGGTTTTAAAATAGATGCTTGTAATCTAGTAAATATAGATGATTATTCCCAAGATTGCACAGTTTTTTTTTCTTTTAGCAGTAGATGGCGCTCTAGCTTCAACTTGCTAGTCTCTCTGTGTTATTGCTGACAATTTATGGCAGCCATGTTTGCTGCCACTGGTCTTCGGATGAGGGGGCTTTCCTAGTCAGAGGGGAGAGATGCGGCTCTCCTCGACCTGCCAGGCGGTCCCCCTTTACTTCACCATCCCTCCAGTGTGGCTATGGCTCAATTTGAGCCTTCTGATGTGGAGGGGTTGAAATGGGGCTGCAGAGCTCGTGATCTTCACTTCCGAAGGCACCGGAAGTACAACCGGAAGCTCCCAAAATCCACATATTGAAATGATAGGATGGCTAGATTTTTTTATATCCACAGGATGGTAAATGGCTGATTGGATGGGGATTAAAAGGGAGTGCATTGTTCTACCAGTAATAATGCTGTTATGTTCCTATCCTTATAGGCCTTATTTTGAACTCAAAGCAAAATATTATGTACAATTCGAGGTATGTACTTTTTATTTATTTTATGTAGAAGATAAATATGTTAGTTCTGGATTGAGTTGTGGAATCGTTGATATTTCTGTGCTTGGTTGTTTGCAGGTATTTCTTTACCCAACTAGGTAGTTATTGATTTTTCTTATTTAAAACCATCTGACCCCCTCCCTCCCCCCAAAATAGAAAAAACATCCCTCACTATGCTTGTTACTGTTGTAGTGGTTGTCTCATTTTAAGAATGATGAAACTTTTATAGATGTGAAATATTCTGCATAAATAGGAGATATTGTCTTTTGAAATTTGAAGAATTCCCAGCATTTAGAATATTTATTTAGTTCTAATTAATTTTATATCACCTTTACAGGAATCAGATTTTTCAAAGTTTAATTATAATGTATTAAAACAATATATCAAGAAGTGTAGTAAGTCTTCTCATAGGACAGTTGATCCTATAGAAAAGGAGACAATCTAGTTTCTCTCTCCCCGCCCCTGAATATTGCTATTATTTGCCTTGTAGTGTGGAGAATGTAGACAATATATTTCACTGAGGTGAAAGTTTTGCTCTGAGTAATTGATAGCAGCCTTTTAGTATGGAGATGTTTTTCCTAAAAATAGTTAACCTGCACATATGTGGGGTGGTAGCTTTTATATGGTAATTTAAAAATATATATCCATGGTGAAAAATAGCTCTACCTGACAAAATAGCCCACAAAATGCATATATCAACATTTTCATGATGATTTCTTTAACTAGTATCCTCTTTAAGTGTTGGGCTCCCATAATCAATTATCCCATAAGTTATTGGATTGTCATGCTTGATGAGCCAAAGAAATCAAAGTCCAATATGCTGGAAGGATCTTAAAATTGGGTAGTGCTGTTTTAAAGTTAGAATACTTCATTCTATATGTTATATCCGACAATTGTGTAAGAAAAAAAGAGAGTTCAATTCTCTGTAAATCTGCTGATTGTGACAGCTTGATTATTTTGGTGAACAGCTTTAGAGAAATCTGTGGGACTTCATTAATATTTTTTGTCTCAAAAACAAAAAAAAGTAATGCAATTTATTGTATACGGATGTTTAGAAGTTTTTCTTTTGAGTAAGGAAGTCTTTCTGCCTGCTTCATTAGCAATTAAAAAAGATAGTGGATGATCTGCAAACAAAATTGGCTTTGGCAAAGGGTGAATACAAAGCAGCCTTGAAGAACTTGGAGATGATCTCTGATGAGATTCATGAGAGGCGGCGAGCTTCATCAATGGGGCCCAGAGGATGTGGTGTTGGGGCTGAAGGCAATAGTACTTCAACAGAAGACCTTACAACATGCAAGTTAGATTCAGATAATGTTTCCAGTAAGTAATAGAAAAAAGCATAGAGTTTTGGCCATGTCAATTTTTTTCAAAGGTTATATATCACCAACCAAGAGCTGGTCAGAAAGTGCCAAGTATCAAGGAGCCAATTATAATTAATTAATATAGTGTAAAAGTGATTTTCTATTTATCAAACAATTTTTCCCATTTCCATGGTACTTGAAAATTTCTTTTTGAGGTGTGGTTTATCAATTGTTGTGATAAAGTGCTTTTTTACTTTTACTTTTTTACTTTTTTTACTTTTTTTGTTATGCAACTGTCCGTTGCTTCTCATATTTTGGGAGGACTCATGGGAATTTCTCAGATTTAGTAGAAATAGGACAAACCAGGAAGCTGGAAATGCCAGGAGAGGTGATTGTACCATGAAAAATAGGACAAGCAACATTCTCAACTTTGTTGTAATAATAGTAAAATTTTGCCAAATTTCAATTTTGACTTCGTTAACAAAGGTTTCTTAAAAACACAAATAAAATGGTTTAAAACAGGTATTAAAGATATTTAGCACAATTATCTATGAAAACAAAAGAGTTGGTTTTTATAGAAGCCGTAATGTTGCAATATTAGAATACAGTATTGTAGGCTAATTCTGCCCACTGCTAGGAGTTTGATCCTGACCAGCTCAAGGTTGACTCAGCCATCCATCCTTTAAAAATCAATAAAATGAGGACCCAGATTGTTGGGAGCAATATGCTGACTCTGTAAACCATTTAGGGAGGCTGTAAAGCACTATGAACTATATTGGTAAGTGCTATTGCTATAGTGGTAAAGGCATGAGGTTAGAAACTAGAAGACCATGAGCTCTCTGTCTGTAAAACAGATTATAGTCTGGTTTGGACACTGGACATGGCTAATATTTTGAAAATTGATGAAATGAAGGGCATAATTTTAGTATTTATCATTCTCTAGCTGCAATTTTCCAATGAAAATGGCATGACATGAGTGTGAATGGAGCGGACCTATTTTTATGACAACTCACTTTTTTTATGGCCTTCGGCAATTGGTTGAGGGAGGAAAATCACACCAATTTTATCACCTAGTGGTAATATGGAATGTTATACAGTTGCAAGAAAAAGTGTGTGAACCCCTTGGGATTACATGGGTTAAATTGGTCATAAAATGTGCTCTGAACTGCATCTAAGTCACAACAATAGAAAAACACAGTCTGCTGAAAATAATACTACACAAACATTAGATGTTGCCATGGTTTAATTGAACGTAACATGTAAATATTCACAGTGCAGGGAGAAAAAAGTATGTGAGCCCCTAGCCTAATGACTTCTGCAAGAGCTAATTGGAGCCAGGAGTGAGCTAACCTTGACTCTAATCAGTGTGATGATATTGGATGTGTTGCTGACAGCTGTCCTGCCCTTTAAAAACACACACCTGTTTTAGGTTTACTGGTTTCAAGAAGCGCTGTCTGATGTGAACCATGCCTCGCAGAAAAGAGCTCTCAGAAGACCTATGATCAAGAATTGTTCATTTGCATGAATCTGTAAAGTATCTCCAAAAGCCTTGATGTTCATGTGTCCACAGTAAGACAGACTGTCTAGAAATGGAGAAAGTTTAGCACTCTTGCTACTCTCCCTAGGCGTGGTCGTCCTGTAAAAATGACTGCAAGAGCACAGCGCAGAATGCTTCATGAGGTGAAGAAGAATCCTAGAGTGGCAGCTAAAGACCTACAGAAATCTCTGGCACATGCTAACATTTTTGTTGACACATCTACAATAAGGAAAACATTAAACAAGAATGGAGTACATGGGAGGACACCATGGAGGAAGCCATTGCTGTCCAAAAAAAATATTGCAGCATGCTTGAAGTTTGCAAAAGAGCACCTGGATGTTCCACAGCACTACTGGCAAAATATACTGTGGACAGATGAAACCAAAATTGAGTTGTTTGGGAAAAACACACAACACTATGTGTGGAGAAAAAAAGACACAGCACACCAACATCAAAACCTCATCCCCACTGTAAAACATGGCGGAGGGAGCATCATGGTTTGGGGCTGCTTTGCTGCCTGGACGGATTGTTGTCATTGATGGGACAATGAATTCCAAGGTTTATCAAGACATTTTGCAGGGAAACATACGGCCATCTGTCTGCCAACTGAAGCTCCACAGAGGATTGGTGATGCAACAGGACAGTGACCCAAACCATACAAGTAGTTCAACAAAAAAATGGCTTCAACAGCACAGAATACACCTTCTGGAGTGGCCCAGTCAGAGTCCTGACCTCAACCCGATTAAAATGCTGTTGCATGACCTTAAGACAGCGATTCACACCACACATCCCAAGAATATTGCCACACTGAAACAGTTTTGTGAAGAGGAGTGGTCCAAATTTACTCCAGATGGTTGTGAAGGTCTGATCTGCAACTACAGGAAATATTTGGTTGAGATTATTGCTGCCAAAGGAGGGTCAACCAGTTATTAAGTCCAACGGTTCACATACTTTTTTCTCCTGCACTGTGAATGTTTACATGTTATGTTCAATTAAACCATGGCAACATCTAATGTTTGTGTAGTATTATTTTCAGCAAACTGTGTTTTTCTATTGTTGTGACTTAGATGAAGTTCAGAGCACATTTTATGACCAATTCATGCAAAACTCCATGTAATCCCAAGGGGTTCACATACTTTTTCTTGCAACTGTATATTATATGATGTGTTATATTAAATATTATATTACCACTTAGTGGTAACATGAAGCTTGTGTCAGAGTAGACTTCACCTTTTCTATTTTGATAAGAGGTGATACCTCTTTCCCCCTGAAAATAAGACTGGGTCTTATTTTCTTTTGGACCTCAAAATAAGAATTAGCGCTTATTTTTGGGAGGTTCTTTTATTTTTTTCACATGTATGGGAGGCCCACTTCTTCTTGCTTGTGGCAGAGCAGGTCACATGATGTGCCAGTGCTGCTGTGAGGCAGCGGCTGTAAGTACCCTGCAGTGGCTTACCCCAGAGGCCCTGCAGCCAGGCCACCCATTTCCTGACACCTGCCTCATCTCGTAGCGACTCTGGGAGCTCTGTCCAGGACCCCACATGGCTGCCAGCCCACTTCTCCTTACTCATGGCCGCAATGGAGCAAGGACTGAGTGATGCATTAGTGTTGCGGTCACAAGGTGAGTCAGGGGTTAGGCATGGGTGGCCTGGCTGTGGGGGCCCTGAGGTAAGCTGGTGCAGGGTGCGTGGGGTAGCTCCATCCCCACCTCACCTTTGGCCATGGCTTAGCGAGCAATCAGATAGAATGGGTGGCCAGCTAGCTGCGCAGGCATTTAAGTAGGGCTTATTTGGGCAAGAGGGGAGGAGTACATAGGTAAAATATGCTAGGTCTTATTTTTGGGATAGATCTTATTTTGAGAAACAGGGTAGTACTCATTAATACATTGCTGAGAATAAACAATAGTTGATTGCAGTGATTTGGGATGGGGGAACAGAAGCCCGAAATGGGAAAATAATGCTGAATTTTGCAGTTTTGATCCGTTAAGAATTATATTACATTCAATTAATTGTGATTGAGATGGCCTATAAGCTTGTTCATTCTTTAATTCATTAATGCTAATTAATTTTTTTGAACATTTTCAGTGGCATCAGAAGTTTTTGAAGATGACACCTGCAGCAGCTTTGTGTCTGAAGAAGACTCTGAAACTCAGTCTCTATCTAGTTTCAGTTCTGGTCCAACAAGCCCTTTTGATATACCTGCTCAGTTTCTTCCAATGACTCGACCTAAAAGCTTGGATTTATCTAGCCCCATATCACTATCTGAATTTGGGGTATTTCCTCTTTTAGGCCCTCGCAGTGAATGTAGTGGGGCATCCTCTCCTGAATGTGAAATTGAAAGAGGTAAGTTAGATTGATGAAGGCAAAGCTCAATACAAGACAGAGATAAGATAATGGCTAAGGACAAACAGTGCAGATGTGCATATACTTTGGGAACAGTATATGCTGGTTTGTTGCCATATTTCAAAAGGAAACAGTAGCTACAGTGAAAGCCAGAAAAGGGAACAAAATGATCTAGAAATTTTGAAGAAAGATGATAACTTTACCTGCATTTTGTAACATACAACTTCTCAGCCAGATCTGCACTAAAAATAATAAAGCCTTGTCCCAAAGGTTCTTTTTCAGGAGGCAACTGGGCTTTGTTTTTTCTTTGAAGATGTTTTGCTTCTCATCCAAGAAGCTTCTTCAGCTCTGACAAGATAATGGGGAATGGAAATATTTATACTGCTTGCAGACAGCTGGTAAATTGCATCCTTTTAGAGGGTAGTTGAAGCACTTGGAGGCTTATCTGTGGCCTCAAGGTCATCTGAGTAGTATTCGTGGTTTCTGTAGTCTGCAATTTTTCTCTAGAAATTAATTCCTACTCCCACACCATTCAAAGGGTATTCATCCTAAATTGTATAGCTAAAAGTCTATAAAGATTCTCAGTCATCCAGGTCATGGTTGTCCAGAGGTGCTTTAAAAAAAAACCCAGTTGCCTCCTTGGGACAACCATGACCTGAATGATTGAGAATCTCTACAGACTTAAAGCCTTGTAGTAAAATGTATGGTTTTGTGACCATCGAATGCAGTGGAATCAAGATCGATAGGATTTATAGTTTATTCCAAATTTTCCAAGTTTAGTGATTAATTAAATACCTTTTGGGGATTCAGAAGCACACATACTTTGTAAGCTGAATATGAATCCAACTCAAGTTATGATTATATTGTGGACTTTTACCCTTGTTTTATAGTCCAAAGCTGCAAAATCTTTCCATCTCATTTTCACAGGAGACAGGGCAGAAGGAGCTGAGAACAAGATACTTGACAGAGTGAACAAGAACAAGAGTGTAGGTAGCAGCTCTTCTTCCAGTGGCCCAGTGCCGGACAATCAGTTGAAGCAACTTTCCCTACAATGCCTGAAAGTCAAGGATGGGATTTGTGCAGACAAACAAATAGTACAAATTGGGTGAAGTAATATCCAGGGGCTAATGAGGAATTAATTTATACACAGATGTTTCCTGATTGTCAGAACCTTGTGCCAAAAACTAATATGTGCCAAATTTTTAAGCCTTTACTGCACAATAAAGGCTTACACAATTGTTGAGGGCTAAAGTATGTACATTGAAATATGTAACAGAAATCTTGGTCAGGACAGAAATTTTAAAGGACAGAAATACCAATCCTTAAGATATTTTGTAATAGTTTGGGAGAAGCAATAACTAATACGAGTCCTCTATGAAATTTAGGGCACTCTGGCACTCAGAGCAAAGCCAAGTTGGGAGGATTAGCTGATATCTTGTTTGTAATTTGAGTTGCTGTTTAATGCCGTAAAATTCCAGGATGCTAGCAGAATATCCTTTGAAATACTTTGTATTGTGTTTGGGTTACCAAAGGAAGCTGCTGCACGTAACAGAATTTAAGAATTCAGTCTTCCTATAGATTCATGAGGGTTGATACATTATACCTCAAAGGTAATTAAAATGTTAATTTAATTTAATCCCTTTAGCTTTTTACACAGCTGTGGGGAGGATATAGACAGGAAGATGTGTGTGTGTGTGTGTGTGTGTATACACACATATAAAATGATGAAAACAAAATGGTCAGTTGAAAACATTAATGTAGGATACCACTTTGTTGTGAAGTACCAATCATCATAATCACAAAGCATAGATAGGAAGATTACCCCACATCCCATCAAGTAAAAAAGAGAAATGTGCATGAATGGAATAATTGCCATAGCATTGATATGGGGAACATTTTCTAGTATCTCTGCATTATTAAGTATAGCATTTCAGGAGTAGTTAAAAGAGTTAGAAGTTAGTATTCTTTAAGTAAACTATAAACAAGATAGAAAGGAAGCTGAAGCATGTAAGCAACAACTATTAGAGAACTGGAATTGATGCTAGTAAGAAATAGTTAAAAGCATAAAGTTGCTTTAGTAAACTAGTTAACTAGTAGTTAACATTTCTAAAAATTGGCCTAGGTCATATTTAATGAAGCATTACTGATAAGCAATAATCCTTTCAATATTTTTTTAAAATTTGGCTTAATTTTGTTATATTTTGTCAATGGTATGTGTATATTCTTAAAACAAATGTAAAGATTATTTCACACTGTCTCCTCTGCCCTTTTTGTTTTCATGTGTAGAATGGTTATTTTTAATCTTTACAACTTCATTCTTCAAATATGTCTGTCTATCTGTCTTTCTTCCATATATATATTTTGCAAGGATCTTTGCAAGGAACAATTGGAATGGTAAAAATAAAATGAGAACTAGAAATGTTAGTAGTAAGTCTCTGTCTGTGTATAGATACTACCTGTGATAAAATTCAAAGTTTAGAGTTTACCTTTATGAAAACTATGAGATACAAAATTAAACAGTTTTGTTTCATGGATGTTATGACAGTCAGTAATTTTTCTGTGATAAATTTTGACCTTTACACATTACCAGCAATTATCAACATTTTAGTTAAGGGAGAAGTGGCCATATTCTATGTTTGCTGATATTTGTTATAAAGACCATTAGGGTTACACTACAGAACATATTGTAAATTTTTGTGCCCTTCCCATTTTATTTGCAGTGCATTGGCTGATACAGGCATTCTAAAAGTTTTTTATGGTAGAAAACTTCTAAAATGGCTCTATAAGCCAAAGCACTGCAAATAAAATGGGAAGGGCACAAAACATACAATAAGTTCTGTAGTGTAACCCTATTTCTATGGAGCCACTTGAGATAATTTCTGGTGCAGATAGCCGAAATGGTAGATCTTCTTCCTATTAAGGACAACATGGCTAGTAAGGGGCAGGGGGAGAGTTAATTCTAGGGCTTAAGTGTACCTTCTCAATAATTGCTATGTCCTATAAGTAAATCATGTTGGCAGGCTAAGTTCAAATGAAAGGGAAAAGAATATTCAGTTTTTATACCATTCATAGATTTTCATAATCTGAAAATCTAGCTTGTGTGACTGATGTTGCTAGCAATAATGTAGAGCTTGACTCATAAACTTGGTTGCTAATAGTTTTGTTCTAGTCGATGAAGCATTCTGCACCACTATTTGCATGGCTTTGATGCTGGCATTTCCCCTAAATTTGTTATTCAGCTTCATAAGAAAGGCTGAGAACTGATTAGCGGTATGCCTGGTTATTTCATTTTGTCCAAATCAATTAAATCTTACTTTATGTATCTATGAAATATTAAGATAACCTTGTCATTTTTTACTGTGTGAGCACACTGGCACACATTAAAAATGAAATTCTGTTGCTTATTCTCACTATATGTACACTATAGAGAGTTATCATTTATATGTGTAATGGGCAGACAAAATGTATTTACATACATTCATAGGCAATTCAGAAGATGCATGAAAAATTGAAGTTCTGTGGAATAGTCCTAATTCATCCTTAAATCAATTATCGTGTTCTTTATTAGATTACTGACTTACAACTGAAGGTCTGTCTATATAACATTGCCATCTCATTAATTGCCTTAGAGAACTGGATCCATATATATTCTTCCCCCCAGAAGTGAGGCAGATCTTTGAAAAGGAGTAAAAGCATGCCTTTGTGCCTTTGTGTGGGGAACCTGCAGTCTTCCGTGCAGTCATGAAGTTGAATAGTGCCGTGGGAGTCCGCCCTTGGTAACTCTTAATCAACTTATAACATCCACAGTGCTGATTGGTTTAAAGTTCACTTCTAGGAAGCTGCATTCATTGCTAAGAAATTTCTTGCTTGGTGGATCATGACTGGTGTTTGGGCTGCTGAAGGGAAAAGGCTTGGCTGTGCTATAAAGTCCTATCTTGCAAATATCTTCAAAGATTTAAGGCTTTCTTCTATTGGAGATGCAAGGTTCTTAATAAAGTTAGCTAACCAAATTTGTGTTTCATTTTAATGTTTAAAAATATTGATCATTCCTAACTAAACTTAGATTTAAAACAAAGTTTATATTGGAAACAGTTTGATTTAATCTTTCTGTCCAATCAGAAGACTAATGCACAGAAAGTTTACTTACGTTTTAGGGACTCAAGGGAAAGCTCTGAAAAATGATCTTATTCTTTTGCATAGATAAAATCAAGCTAAGAATAATTAATCAGATATACCAGCATACTATCATTGAAATATACAACAAAAAGACCTTGACTTTCTGGTTTACTTCACAGAATTACACCGGTTTCACCTGTTTTATAAATTTAAGAAGCCAAATGGGCTCTTAGTTTGAGCAGTACCAGGGCCTAGAGGTAAAGAGGCTCAGCTTCCACTTGGAAGACTGAGAGTTCAATCCTAGGCAGTGGCAGATGTTTCTCTATCAGGACAGAGAAAATATCTCCTGTGAACTCTACATTGGTGTCAGGAAGGGCATATGGCCAGTATGCGCCCAGGTCTACTCCTTTGCCCCAACGCCACCCTGAAACAAGGGATTAAAAGAGGAAAAAATGGGCTAGCTTTCTGTAATCCCATCCATCCAACCATTCACAGCGTTATATATTTCTCTGTGAACTCTACACTTGTAACAAGTACTGTTGATGGGGTATAAGACTCATTATTTCCTGACGTGCTCGGGAAATTGGCCGTAATAGCAAGAGTTCAAGTGTTTGTGTAGTTTTAATACAATTGAATTTCTGGTGTGAAAGCATATTGGAGGATTTTATAATAGCTCATGAAAGAAAGTTGGAGTTGAATTTTAGTCTAAGGATACAGCTTTTAACTCAAAGAAATGTATCAGTCATGCCCCATACTTTGACAAATATGTATGATAAATCAAGAACCAAGATCTATAAAGCATACTATTCTAACAACAGAGTTATAGATTCTTATATTCAATCCTTTCAACCCTTGTATGATGATAGCAGTGACCACCAAGCAGTGATATATAAGCATCAATTTTACTCCATCCTCAGATAAATCAGCTGATACTGTACTCAAAAAGGCAGTAGGAAAAATGGCTATTTTTCTCCAGGTCAATTATCCCATATTAAGCAGATAGAATTGACATTAGATTTTCACTGGTGTAGGTATGCTGGTCTTGTTGTATTCGGGTCTTTTCCCATGTAATATTGAGATTGTCTTGGCAACGTTTCGGCGAAGTCCCACACCATCTTCAGGCTGGTGTTTTCGGCTTCGTGCTTGTGCGAGTAAGGCGTGGTCGGAGGGCTGTTGTCTTTCTCTAAATCTTGGTGGGGTGTGTGGAGTGCTGGCTTTGTTGCTGTAAGTTGGTTGATTGGGTGTGTAGTTGCATCCTGATTGGTAGATGGAGTTGATGTTTGTAGATTGGTTGGCTGTTTTGTATCATCCTGTGTGGGTGAGGTGCTGGCTGTGTGTCCATTGTTCTTTTGTGTTGTAAAGACCTGGGTGGTGGGTGGGGTTCATTTGTTGACTAGAGCTGGTTTCCAGATGTCTGGTAGGTGGGAGGTATCATCACGTTTGGGGTGTTTCTCTATTTTGATGGCTTCCATAATTATTCTCTTGTTGAAGTGTTCTGTTTTGGAGATTAATTTGGTTCCTTCAAAATCAATTTCATGTCCTGTTGCTTTAAGGTGCTGTAAAAAGGAGGAAGTTTTTTCTTTTTTTCTGACTGCATTCTTATGTTCTGCGATGCATGTATTTATTCTCCTATTAGTTTGTCCAATGTATGTGGCAGGACAGATTTTGCATGGTATTTCGTAGACTCCTTGGTTTTCTAGCTGGATTCTTTGGGGTTTCCTAAGATGTTGGCTATTTTTTGGTCAGTGCTGAAGGCTATCTTGATATTGTGCTTGTGGAGAATTTTGCTGATTTTATCTGGGGTGCCTTTGATGTAAGGGAGGAGGGCGATGCAGTTATCCTGTTCTGTGTCTCAGTTCTGGGGGGAGTCTCTCTTTGGATTAGGTTGGTAAGTTGATTTTGAAGGAACCAAATTAATCTCCAAAACTGAACACTTCAACAAGAGAATAACTATGGAAGCCATTGAAATAGAGAAACACCTCCACAACATGAATAAGCGTGATGATATCTCCCGCCTACCAGACATCTGGAAATCAGCCCTAGTCAACAAACGAACCCCACCCACCACCCAGGCTGTTACAATACAAAACAACGGACATACAGCCAGCACCAATCAGCACCAATCTACCAATCATGATACAACTACACAGCCAATCAATCCACTTACAGAAACAAAGCCAGCACTCCACAACACACACCAAGATTTATAGAAAGACAGCAGCTCCGACCGCGCTTTACTCACACAAACACGAAGCCGAAAACACTAGCCTGAAGATGGCGAGTGAGACCTCGCTGAAATGTTGCCAAGACAATCTCAATCTTACATGGGAAAAGACCCGAATACAAGACCAGCATACGTATACCTGTGAAAATCTATGAAAACATATGTCTGTGTATGTCTGTGCGTGCACACGCCAATTTTGTATAAACAAAGCCATGCAAAATTAAATATCAGGGTATGTGAGCAAATCTTTTTTCCTTGCCTCAACTTTCCCACATCACAAATAACAGAAATCCATGTTTTCCATTGTTTTGCAAACCATAAAGATTAGGTAGCTCTAATTTTGAGTGCAATTCTTCTTTTGACAGTCCACATTACTTTTCCATACCCCATATAAACATTTTTTCAGTAGGTTTTTAGATAGTTCTTCAGTGTGACAGCTATACTTTGCCATTTTTCTTAAAAATGGTTTTGCAGGCAACTTCATTGCAGCTGTGATATTTTAAGAGGGATAGCAGTATTGAAGTCCAAGAAAAATGGTCCTTCTTGTTGTGGGAGGAAAGTGCTTGGAATAATATTGTAAGTACCAGGAGGTATATTCTCAATTTCCAGATAGCAAAAGCCACACCTTGAAAAGTGAAATACAGAGAGAAGGCTACTGTAATATAAGATCTCATATTAGCGATAAATAATAGTGATAAAATATGCAGAAATCAGCTGAGTATTACCTGTAATCACCACTATTTTTCTTCTGAAAACCCAAAGATCCCGGATCTCCTATCGAAGAAACTGTTGCAACTTCAAGTCCAACACTGTACTGCCTGTAAATGAATCAGAAGTTGGAAGCTTCTGAGTTTAAAGCAAAATTAGAACTTTTAAAAAGTGCGGTATATTCTCTGATTCTATCTGGATCCATATTTGATGCACGGTTTGTGCTAAGTCATAACTTAACTTCTCCCAAAGGTGCCATGCAAATCTAGTCACTGAAGTCTGTAATAATTGTTTATGGATTAATGTGTTGTATGAAAGCAGCCTCAGAGTTTGAGGTTAAGCTCAAAATTTGAACAAGATAAACAACAATTCTTTT